TTTATAACTGGCTTAGAATGGTCATCATACGCAGTTATAACCCGTGTGCTCACCGTTTCGCCGTCCGCGCGCACCGGTTCGGCAACGTCGCGTGCCAGGACGGAACGTATCGGCACCGGCAAAATATTCTTGCCCACAATTATTGTTAACTTTCCATGCACGGCACGCGACAGTGTTGGTCGGTGACGGAAAGGTCTTGGTCGGTGATGGAACGTTCTAGTGGGCTAAGTCTCATATTTTTCAATACAAAGAATATTTTTTTGCCTGACACGGTCCTAGCACTGTCATGGTATGAGACGGTGTAGTGGGCAGAGAACTTGAATTTAATTAAATAGTGTCTATATAGTTGGATAAATTTATTCTGTTTTTATTTCCAAGTTTGTATATTATGTCAAAATAATGAAAAAATAATACTAATAAAAGATTACCTTCATTGTTAAAAGTGTATAATTTATTCTTACGTAAATAATGATAGGCAAGTAGTCAAATACCAATACCTACACAAGGATTGCTAAGTTTATATCGGTTTGATAATTATCGCGATAATTATCAAAATATATATTTATTTATCTTGATAATTTCATACCCTGGTTAAAAGTAACCTATGTCACTCTCCAGTACTACAACTATCCACTCTACACAAATAATCACGGAAATCCGTCACTATGTTTCGACGTGAAAGAAGGATAAACAAATAAACACACTTTCACGTTTATAATATTAGTATGGATGTAGCATTCATTTAAAATAAACCTATTCAAAAATTATTTTAATCTTCTTATATAAATAAAAATGAATGTTGCTAAGCGCAAAACCCGAGAACGGTTTGACCAATTTAGCTATTTTTTTTTGGTACACGGAAATTTTTAATTAAGAGAAAAATATAAAATAAGGTAAATTCAAAATTCAATAAATCAAGAATACTTAGAAAGCAAATTACCTTTAAATATTTATTGTAAGTATTGTTTTTATCTTTATTATATTATCTCAATATAAATACTTTTTATATTATAATATAGAGTAAAGTATATTATAAAATATTCATTTATATTATTTAGTAAATTGTAATTTTGCTACAATTGGAAATTTTATATATATATATATATATATATATATATATATATATATATATATATATATATAAAACAAAGTAGTGTTAGTTACACCATTCATAACTCATGAATGGCTGGACCAATTTTTATGATATTGGATTTTTTGGATTTCTCTTAGTCCGGAATAGGATAATAAGTAAAACATCAGTAAAATTAACGAATATATATATATATATATGGCTAACGCTGGCTAATAACTAATTATGTATACATTTAAATATATACATAATTAGTTATTAATTTTAAATTAATTATTAGTACATATAGTATACATTTAAAACGCACCTAGGGATGAACCCGAGCGAAGCGAGTGTGAGCCGCTAGTTATAACATAAAAATAAATTATAATACAAAAATATGTTCTTTTATATTTTTTAACTGGGAAAAATAACTTATGTTGTAACAATATTGCGATTAAGCACTTATTACGTAATTTGAACGTGATTCTCAACGCCTCCGTGGCGCAATCGGCTAGCGCGTTCGGCTGTTAACCGAAAGGTTGGTGGTTCGAGCCCACCCGGGGGCGGCGCTTTTTGTTTTCTATTACAAAAATGCTTAATTTTTTTTTGAAATTATTATTATTTTCATTGATAGTAGTTTACAATTAGATAATCAGAAGATAGTTATATAAACATCCTTTCATTCATCTCTAAGACAAATTGTTTGGAACCAAATAAGTATAATTTAGATTTTTCTTACATATTGGGAAAATATTAACTAATAACTAATAAAATATCAAAAATAAGTACTAAGAATTAAAATAAAATACATTATTCAGAATACAAATGTTATATATATATATATATTATTAAAACAAATATTTAAAATTATTAATACAGAATTTTATACTATGTTCTGTACTAATATCACTATTTGAATTTATATCTTAACTCCCGTATGGTCTAGTGGCTAGGATACCTGGCTTTCACCCAGGAGGCTCGGGTTCGATTCCCGGTACGGGAAATAAGTTTATTTGTAATAAATTTCTTTTGTTAATATACATAACTAAAAACTGAATGAACATTCATTTTTTTTCAATCTCTTCAGTCATCATTCTGAATCATTTGAATGAATTTTCAGTCTAAACTGGTCTAAGGAGATAAAGATGCTTAGTATTATTAATCCATATGAAACTTCAGTTGAAAGATATCTATCTTATCAAAGGCACTGCTTGTATTTTAGATAAGTCTTTATAGTTGTTAAATATGGACCATGTAAGAGTATTTGTGTGTCTTAATTGAAGATACATAGATTGGGACACAGTTTACTTTTTATGAAAATTGATGTCCATTATTTCAATGTCATTAAACTATATATAATGTACATTAGCGTATATATTATACCTTTTAAAATACCTTTTATATGTATATTATTAGTGACCAATTTCCAAAAGGAGAAGATTTAATTTTTTTTTTGGGTATTTTAAAAGACAAGGCAGAGAGAAGCATATGACATAATATGTTTAGAGAAGGCAAAACTTTTGTTTATGTATGAATATATTAGGTAATATTATGACAATTATATTAGTGAAAATGTTACCATGATATTACTTATATTTTTTGCTTATCGATTTATTTAATTATATACCTACTTAAATATCTTTTTCAAAAAATTTAATTCAACGTTTAAAATATTTTATTCAGCATTAAATTATTACAATTTTTTACTGAACGTCAAGAGTCTACTACCAGTTCGGAAAGAAGAAGTCTCAGACCTGAGAAGAACTGGCAAAAGAAACTCAACGAGACTAATATTATTTAGTTATCTTTTTTGTAACTTATATTATCTATAAAGTCGAAGTAGCCTGGAGGCGACCACTTCATACACAAGGTGTGCCATCTTCTATATAATCATTAATTTAATTTAGTCACAAACAATAGAATGTCTGTGCCTTTAGTACACAAATATTTTTTTTAATTTGGCAATAGAAGCTTTTTGAACATTTTAAAACTAGTCTATTATCTTTATAATTTATTAGATAACTATTATATGAAATTTTAATTAGATACAAATTGAAGCTAAAGAATGAGGGAAGAAAAAATAAAAAATATTATTTTAAAAGTTCATGAAAACAAAAAGTTTTGTCAGAAGTGGGATTCGAACCCACGCCCTCAGAGAGGACCAGAACAACTCGCACCTACTGAGTAGGCAAGGTAACCTTGAGTCTGGCGCCTTAGACCGCTCGGCCATCCTGACAGATGATGAGCTATGTGAAATAGTGAATCGTATTTAAAAATTAATTTATTGATAATTATTTTTTAAATTAAATAATAATAATTTATAATATTGAACTCGTAATTTTATATTGTTTGACACTTATTATTTTTAAAGAAGTCCATCACAGGATAAACAACTACAATAGTATTTTATATGTAATAACTATGTTATTTATTTTCAAATAAAAATAACATATTGTTTGTTGCTTAATCCAGTTTAAATAATATATTTACATTATTTAAATGCGCCATCTATATAGTAATTAAAACACTAAATGGATTTCTATTCTAATACGTAAATAATTTTATAGATGGCGCTATCAAATACTTATTACAATAAAACTTATGTTTTTTAAAATAATGGCAACAACAGTTTTGATTTGAATTTGTATAAGGAATATTTAATAATATTTTTTGTTTAATTTTTACTGTATAAAGCGAAAATATAAGAGGTTAAAGTAATATAAGCAAGTTGTACAGAGAGTCAAAAAAAGTTGCACTGCTGTCTTCTAAACTAAGCCAGAGCCTGTATTTTAGGTAGGTTTAAAGGTTTGTTAATTACATATTTTTTCTTTATGTTATTACATAAAGAAAATTGATTAATTATACGGAAATAATAATTTATAAAAGTTTTTATAATACCTTTAAGTGTTTGTGCATTGAATAATTTACTAGCACAAAACTAAGTAGGTACAAGAAAACACAAAACGACTTTTTTATTCCGTGGAACACTAGCACTCTATATAATTATTTAAAAGACGCACGTTTCATATATTTACAACTAAAAATTAAATTATTATTAACAGCTCAGAGTCCAAAGTTCAATCGAATTTATGAAACAAAATTTTAACATTCGTTATTATTTTCATTGCGATCCATAGCATAGATTAAAGATGTGACTACTGGTACTGACTAAACATTAAACAATTAAAGTTAAACCGTTAATAATTCAACAAGGATATTCATAAATAGTACAATCGTTTTACGTCTTTTTATAAATATTAAATATAACTTATCATTCTTCCAATTATGACAATTATTAGAACAATTATTAAAAAAAACAATTCATCTCCACAATAAAAAAAATTATGACCTTATTATGTTAATTAATTAAATACTAAATAGGTACTAATATTGATAAATTTGGCGGAAATCATAAAGTAAAGACATAGGTACACATATAACGAAACCTAGACTCTTTAGTCTTTATATTCAAATCAAAAATCAAAACTAACAAAATATATCCTGAAATTGATTTAAAAAAATTAAATCAGATTTCATTATTCTATTTTTCTCACTTATTTTATAATAAGATGTTGTTTTATAAATATAAAATAAATTAAATCCAAAACATATTTGTAATTTTTTCTAATACTATAAACTAGATGGTAGCACAATCACGCTTTTATATAAATTAAACCTATGAAATAATTTTATGATTGAATTAGGAAAATGGTAGTATGCTATTTTTGTTATTAGTTTGATGTCTAGAAAAATACTATAATTGCACTGAAATAATATCAAATTCAATAGGTATAATATATCAGTATTCATTTTTCCTTTGTAGCCTGTATGTTGCTTTATTTTATACTCTATGCTATCAATACTGAACTTTTAAGTTTTAAGTGACAAGCCATTTTGAGGTTGTATTGTTTACAAACAAGAAATAGTCATGGATGTAGAAGTAAAAATTAAAGAAGATATGAAAAAGCTAGGATGTAAATGCAATAAGAAAATAGCACTCGCTTACCATTTATACATATATTTAGTTGATGAGAAACTGATGTATGATACCGAATATTGTTACAATAAAGACATCGACACCTTGTATGTCGTGGCGAGACCAAATAAGAATGAAAAAATTAATATTTATGTCCCAATACCGACTAGTTTTGATGTTAGTATGAATTATGTTAGTGTTTTACAAGAAAATTTGTGTACTGTGGAAACTGGACCTAGCGTGAGCCTGGCATTTATGGAAAGTGATTTTACTACAGTAATTTATACTTTTACAAAGGGCCTTGCTGAACGCCAGTCTGCAGAGAAAACATCGCAAATAAGACAGAAGGAGGATAGGAGAAGTTTTATAAATAGTGAACTTAAGAAAAATGAAAGTGAAATTCTGAATGATGCATTAAATGGTGGTTTTGTGGATGATGATGATGTTTGTCAAGTGTTAGATTGATTATTTTACATTCACATTTTTTTGTTAAAATATGGGTAATTGTTTTGATAGGACAGTCATCGTGTGATAATACTGTTTGTGAAATATATTTTTTTGTCATTAAATATATTTTTATATTTAAATTTCTATCATGCACTTTAATTTAAATCAAGAGTTAACTATAAATTTTTAAATTCTCTGCCATTTAATATATTTAAATGAATGAATGAAAAAAAAAAACAATAAAATATTTGTTTTAAGTTCAGTACATTAGTATGTACATTGGTAATATTTATTTAAACAAATAAATAGACAAAATATGTTGTAATTTAAAAGAATCAATATAATTTCATAAATATGAACATTTAAAAATGTGTACTTTAACAATCCACTATTGTTGTAAAAGTACATATTTTTTATCATTATCAACAATGAGTTTGATGCTTTTTCATTGCATTATTATCATATTTGGGCATACTAGAATCTCTTCATAATATAAACAACGAGCGACTATCATACTATCACCCCTATTTTCAACCCCTTAAGGGATGATTGGGAAGGGATGATAAAAACTATTCTATGTCCTTCCCAGGGTCTCAAACTATCTTCTTACCAAATTTCCTCTAAATGGGTTCAGTAGTTTCGGAGCCTATTCGATACAAACAAACAAAGAAGCTAATTTTTCCTCTTTATAATATTAGAATAGATATTAAATTGTATTAAAAATGTATGTAAATCACTACATCTAAATAATGTTCTATTAAAAATAACTGAATATAAAAGGGGAAATAAAATGATATATTATTTATAATTTATTTATTAATTACATTAGACATGGTACACATATCCACTCTATATAATATTAGACTTTGGGTGGGGTACAAAGCTAGAAAATAAACAACCTATTAAATATTATCACTCAGTTGAAGTATAGTTAGTGCCGCCAGATTCAAAATGAAGTGTGATATATTTTTTGTAATTTGGAAACACTAAATATAAGAATAAAAAATACAACCAAGCATTTCTTATAATATAAAGTCTATAAATATAAATAAATAGTTTGAATACAGTGTTTAAAATATTCTCAGTCAATATGTTTATTTTACAAAATGTATAAAAATCTTACTCTACCCTTAAGTACAAAACCTTACATGAAATATTTTATTTTTAATACATTGGCCACTAACCTTAACATTACACTTTTTAAAGATGACCACAAAAATAAATTGTTTCGTAATTTGAAATTAAAGAAATATTACTTATTGCATTATAGTTTCCTTTATTTTAATTGAATATTCATTTGAGCTTTCCTGAGCTTTAAAAATCTAATAGTATAAACATACTATGTAAATATATTGGATGTATATAAGCTCATAATATATTTAGAATTTAATTATTTAAATTCATTTACAATTCAAATACAAATCTTATTTCTATGGTCATTACTGAAATATTGTGAAATCAAGTAAAGAGAAATCACTATTTACAGGATTTCACTGAAAAATGTTATTTTATAAATAAATATATAGTTAGAATAAAATGAGTACATGGTAAAATTGTCTTTTCAAATTGTCACTAGTCACTATGGATTTTGAACACATTTTAAGCACCTTTTGAGTTCATTATAATATATTCTTATTGGTTTTTATACATCTGCCCCTAAAACAGATTTCTGTTTCGTGGGATACTTCTGTAGACATGGAAGTACTGACAACATCAGATGGATTCATGAAGCTGGACACTGATGAAGTCTCTACTTTAACTGATTTTTCTGTTACATATTCATTACTGTCATCTCTGGTTATTCTTTGTATGTCCATCTCTGTAACATTCTCTTCATTTGCAGTTTCAGCTGTGAATTCATCAGGCATATAATTTGATTCAGTTGTAGCTTTTGCTTTAGTTATTTCGGTTTTTGCTTCTAATTTAGCTATAGGTGTGGTCTCTAAAAGTTTGGTAGTTTCATTCTTAATAATTTCTTTGTGTTCAGATGTTTCTCCAAACAAATAGTCCATTAAGCTGAGTCCATCAGATCGGTCAATGTCTGCATTAGTCGATTCTGTCGGCTCTGTGTAATAAGCAGTATCCTCGAGCGTAGGATCTGGTGATCCAGTACCTAAGTCCATATCACCAGGGTTAACTTTCTCTGTAGAATTAGTACTTTTTATATCTGATTTTGGCGTTGGTAAAGTTTCGTTTGCAACTTCTGAACTAGATTCAACGGCAGATATTTTAGGTATTTCAAAATTTGGTATCACATCTACCTGATCTTCATCATCAGTTTCGAAAAAATCTTTTAGGAACTGATAATTTGGTTTGTAAGTTGTTACAACAATTTTTGTATTACCTTTTCCTGACTTTTCTAAGGCACCTTTTTGTACCGATTGTCCAAGCCTGTTCACAACGTTAGAATAGTACTGCGACTCAGCTACTTCAATTTCTTCTGACGCTGGACGCACCTTTTTAACTCTCTTCCAAAATCCACGACGCCGGTTAGTTTGAGTCGTCACCTGAAATTAAGATTTGTAATGTCTTTATAGCTTGTTTTTTACTTTACTAATGTTACATGTTTATTGTTGTGATCTAATTCGGTATCAAAGTTAAATTTTATAAAATTGTATGGATTGTAATAAATATCATGTCTTACCTCTGTGCTGTTGGGGGAAGAAGTATTTTCCGTTTCTGGCGCTGTCACCTCATCTTGGACAGGCGTAGTAGGTTTCAGAGAGTAGTTTTCACCCGACGATATAATTCTTTCTGGAGGAATCTCGCCGATTTCACCACCTTTATGTTTCATCACATTTCCTGTGTATTCGTTTTCGTCTTGTTCCTCTAGGCTTTTCATTACCTCTTCAAGCATACTTTCAAAAGTGGACATGTTGTCCCCAGAGTCGCTTTTTGTTACCTTACTTTGCTCTACCAAAGCTTCGAGCGTGGGTGGTATATCAGGTATTTTTTTCTGTTGTCTATTATTATATGCAGGTGTTACAGAAATAAGAATGTCTTCGAATTCATTTTTGGCTGTAATTATATCTAGTTCATCATCTTTTAACTTTACTTCACCTGTTTCTGTTTTTGTATCACCAGCAATGTTATTTGGATTAAATGGTTTAAAGGAATCTTTTGAAATTTTTGGTGACCAGTGTTCTGATTCTGGTTCTGCATATTTTGGCCTATTGATGGAATAATTTGAATCTTGATCCTCACTTACTTGATCATCTGTTTCCGTTTCAGGTTTTTTATTATATCTTTCCGATAATCTTGGCCTGTCCCTATACCTACTGTATAAATTATTTTTTGTGGTTGTTGTTGTTACGTCTACTTGTTCTTCGGGCTTTTCAGTTGGCTTTTCTGTTGGTCGACGTCCTCTAAAACGATTTTTAACTTCATAGGTTCTTCTGGTGACGGTGTTTTCAGTGGTAGTGCTGTATGCTGGCCTCCTACGTCTAAATTGACCACGCCTTGTAGTAGCTTCCGTTGTAGAAGATGTCGAAATTGATTCAGTTGTTGATTCAGGTTTGTATACAGGTTGTTTATAGTCTTTAAATTCTGGTCTAATATGAACTTGCTTTGTTTTCAAGTCAGCTTCAATTTCTTCGATTCTCATAGTAGTTCGCCGTTTGTCAAAAGCTGGTCTATATGTTATAGCTTGTAAGGGCTTTCTCCTTTCACTTTTTAATGCCCCAGATTCTGTGGATGCCTGATGATATTGTCTAATGACTCCTGGGCGTACTCTTACTCTGTTATATGAAGGAGTCGTCTCAACAATATTTTCTTCTTGTTCTTGCTCTTGTCCTACATCGGGACCTACAATTCCAGTATTTTCTTCACCTTCAGGCTGCGTACTTATGTCATGTTGTTTGTTCGGTTGAAATTCATCATTTATCGAGTAAATGGGTACATTTTGTTCTGTTACTGGACTAGTGGGCCTACTAGAGATCAAATCATATTGATGATCTTCTGTTTTATATTCAGGAGAAGTTTGTACTGAGTAATTTTCTTCTCTTACTTCGTCATAAGATGTAGCATCTTGAGATCCAGCATTTTGTGGTTCATAAGAATATTCCTTGTTAGGAGAAGAAAAATTAGGCACATAAGAGGTCTCCGAGACAGGATCTATGGCTGCGGTAAACTGTTGTGGAACATCTTTTGATTCTGTATGTATCGGTTCAGTTATGGAAGGGTTATCGTTGCTATAAGCATCTTCAGTATCAAAATTCTTCGATATTTCTATGTTGTTTGTAGAAATTCCTCTCTCAGCTGGTTCTGTAATAGCTTCAATATCTGCAGTGCTTGTTCGTTCCATAAGAGTGACTGGATAATTTTGGTGCAGAACATCCCTCTGATAAGCTAAATCATTTTCTTTGCCATTATTTTTATTTCTTTTTGTATAAGTTTCTTCTGTATCCGTGGGTTTGAATTGGATACGGCCTCTGGTTCTTATTCTGCTTGATTTCGTAGTATTTTCGCTGGAGTCAAATGGTTTTCTAGTTGGCTTTTCCGATGTAATTCTATTTGGTTCATATCTAGTTCTTGGAGGTAGGGGTTTTCTCTCTCTAAGAGGTCTCCGAGTTACAGTAGCACGTGTTGAATACTCTCCAGAATCTGATTTAGTAGTAGGATATCGAGGACGTCCCCTTGTTCGGGTTGTTCTTCTTGTAGTTGTTGTACTAGTAGTGGAAGAATGTATGTCTTGTGAATTATAATCAATGTCATATTGATTATACTCAGAAGATTTTGTCGACTGAATATTAACAAAAGGTGTTTCAGGTATATTATTTACAACTTCAGTGTAGTTGTCGTATGTAGGGGACTGAGTACCAAAATTTTTAGTATTTTCTTCAAATACATTTGTATTGCTAATAGTTTGAGTATTGTCACCAGAAGAGCTTTGACTGGAATGACTGTATTCTGTTTGTGGCGCTGTTTCTGTCTTAGTCCCGTAATCATTTGTGTTATAAGTTGGATACCTTAAGTTCTGATTCTCATTTTCGTGATGAATTTCTGGAGAGTAATTTTGCAAATAATTTGGTTGAGCCTGCGATTGCCTATTTGGCTGATATGTAGGTGGTTGAGTTGGCTCTTCTTCAAGTTTTGTGGTTGATGTAGATGGAGATGTAGTTGGAATTGGAGTAGATGAAGGGGATTGATTTTTTCCATGAGTAGAATAAGGCTCTTTGTATTCCTCAAAGAAGTTGTGATAATCTAACGGTGTACTAAAGTGAAAGGCTTGGTTTATAGAATAAGGATTGTGTGTTTCCAATAATTGACTTGGATATGTCGAAGGTAGTTTTGTAGTTGAAGTAATTGTTGTTCTTTGTGTTGTTGTAGATTCGGGTTTAAAAATATTAACTGTCTTAGGCGGTTCTTGGGGTTTATAATTTGTTTCTTTTGGGAAAGACTGTGGTACGTTGTATTGATTTCCGCGATTGCTTATGAAGTATGAGCCACTTTTGGTGGGGGTCGACTCAGTTGTATAACTGAATTCAGATTCTTTTAATGGCCGTAGACTGCTTACCGATTGTGGTTCAATTGAGTAATAGTTCTGTTCATAGTTTGGGGAATTTATGTTTGGAGAAGTGGTAGAATAGTAACTGATTTTTGGTTTTTGTGTTATTGGTTTCTGTTCCTGTTTATATATAGTTTGCTGGTTATAATAGTTTGGATGAGGATTAGAGTAAACGTTTGCAGCTGTTGTTGTCGTGCTCGGAGAAGAAGTATCTTTTATAAGTGAATTTATAACTACAGAGCCCACATGTGGAGATGGGAAAGGTATCTTAGCAAATCCTTGTGGAGTATTATAGCTTAGTGGTGCTACGAAGAATGGCAACTGTCTTAATTTCTTATCAATATTTTCTATGTTTGACAAGTAAGGAAGCTCAAATTTTACGAAATTTTCTGGCGGTGTTAACGAGGAAGGACCAATGAATACTTTAGGAGCATTCAAAGGATTTACAGAATCCAGTACTGCAACTGTACTAGCGCTTTTTAAGGAATTCAATACATCTCCTACTTTAATTTCATCTTCTTTCTTGGCTTCTTGCGTTAGGAAAATAGCTAAAGGGGGTTGATGCGGCTTTAGTTTCTTAGGCTTAGGCGTTGTTGGTGCGTTTGTAGGAAAAGGGGAAGTCATAGTTGAAAATCTTGGAAAAGTATCCATTTCATGAAGTTGTCTGTTAAAACTTGTAAGGAATTCTTGAGAGTTAAATGAATCTTGAGATTTAACAGGTCTTTGAAATTCACCTTCAAGATTTTGGATTATTGGATTGGGTCGTTGATTTTGATTGAAGAATTCTGTATTCAGTAGTTGCGCTGTAGTTAAGGGACTTCTAAAGTTAAACTGTCCTCTGTTTAAAGATTCTAAAGGCATATAAAGTAATTGAACTTCTTCTCGTTCCACCTTCGGGTTAGAGCTTAATCCTGTTTCCTTCGACTTGTTAGTGTCTTCAAATTTGATTTTTGGTAACGACTGGAGTTTCCTTTTGTCAAAGTTATAGTCACTGTTATTTTCTGCACGATATCCATCAATATATTTTGGTATTTCAGGCTTTGTTTTTGGAGCTTGTGTGATAAAAGGTTTAATAGGAGCGGGTATAGGGTTGATCATTTTTACTGAATTTTCAAATTTGACCGGATTTATAGAAGGAAGAGGTCTGGCTTTTAACTGTGGTACGCTATCGAAGTTAAATTGTGGAGAAATAAATCCCTGGCTTAACGGGAAATTTGGTTGTGTCAAGCCAAATCTTAGACCTTGACTGAAGCCCTGGTCTGACAGATAATTCTGAGGAGCAGATGGTACTGACTGTAAATACAGTTGCCTATTTGCTGGGGCATTATAAAATGACCTTGAAGGAAATCCGTCTTGACTAAAGCCTGTAGGTCTTATAAAGCCCGGGAAAGGTTCTGATAGTATTCTCGGCTCCGCCACCGCTTGTCTCTTGATTTGAGGTAATTCTTTCTCTAGTGGTCCTGACAAGGGAACCCAGTCGCTTATGTCAGATGTGTAAGAGCTGATTTGACGAGACCATCTCGTTTGCTCCTTCGCCGTTGAATAAACAGCGATCAAAGCCACAAAGGCTATCACTTTAAGCGCCATCTGAAAATAAATAAAAATATTTAAATTTAAGTTGATAAAGTTGTAATCTTAAAAATTCGTGTAGATCTATTTGATATATCTAGTGACTTTTTAGAATTTCATTAGAATACTCAGCTTATAAATTACCTATTTATATTTTACTGTAGTTTTAAAATTTTATACAAAATACATAAAAATATATACTATATATTTTTACTAAAATTTTATTTTCTCATACATAATATGTCTTGACAAAATAACGATGCATATTCGTATGTATGTATGTATTTACGTAACCGTTACAGTTACGTTACGTATAAACGTAGCTAATGCCCTTATTATCTGATCGGAATAGCAATTTATGGGTGTGTGACCGTTTAGAATAACTTCCTATAAGGAAACGCAAAATCATACAGTTTCTTTGTTATACTTTTATTTAGAAACTAGTGATTTACTAAGTTTTTCAACGCGACACAAGTGAGAAAATTATATGATGTAAGACTGAAAAGATTTTCTTATTATATAACTATGCAGCTACATAATATACATATTTATAGTTTATATCTATCTTTTGTACATATATCGAACGTAGGGCACAGTGTTTGTGTTTGGTAGTCACTACTCTGAAGATCGCCGCTCCGTTCCCGAGATACCTATATATATTTCTAAAATTTGCCAAATCACCATTTATCAAGGATAAATAGTATTCATGTCCTCCCGACCGATGTCGGCCACAGCGACCAATCTCACTGAGACTAGCCAACGGCAGGAGATCATATTATAGTGCAAAAGTATAAGCGCAGACACAAGTGCATTCTCTATTCCTTTCACTCTCAAATTTCGATTATTTGACACGACCGGTTAGATACCAAGAACAAATAGTATACACAAAGAATAACATGAGACTATCCATCTTAGGACTATTTCGTCCAATTTCCAAAGCAGATGTGACTTGATGTAGCCTGTAGGCAATTACATTAACAAGGGAAGCAGCGACGTAAGATATCAATCTAATGATATATATACAATACATTGCACAATTACTTGAAATGATAAAGCATTGTTCAAATAACCTTGATCCCCGATGGCCCTGCGTTTAGGATGGGAGTCCTTTCGCTATATTTACATAGAATACGACGCCTATTGAGGTCACCTTGGATGGTAGATAACGTTTATTATTATGCTCGTGACACACCCTAGCGCTCAGGTGCAACCTTAAGGATTTATTTGCAATAGACATTCCCGTATGGGAATTAGTATGTTTATCGGAATAAAAAATCCTTATATTTAATCGGTGAGGAATGAGAAAGTTTAATAACCCATCGTTCCTAGACAGCGCTATCTACATAATTTCAGAATTAAAGTGTTGCTAAATATCTTTAAAATTGATATCTCCAGAACGTATTGCGGGGATGTTTTAGTTTAGTCTTTTATGTGTTAATGGATATAATTTATCTCTTTATAAATCGTTGATCGATCGTCGATGTGATCTTCTTCTGGATGTCTTGAAATACTAATTTAGATATGCGTTTTTGCCAATAGTAACCAGTATGACGTCAATTTTCTCTTGTAGGTAGGTACATATTTTTTTATATAGTAGTAATATTATATTTATTAGAATGATATACTATTAGAAGATGATTGTAGCATGAAGCATCCCAACGAAACCACACAACGCCAGAACTGCAATTTTTCCATACCGATTTATCCAGTGAAAGTGAACTAACAATGTTTTCTCCTTTGAAGAAAACCTGAGATATAACATTAAGTGTCGACGGTTACAAATTGCTATTTTATTATATCTAATGGATCGCATTCAGGATATAATAAACATATGAATTTTCACTTCGTGTCGTTTATTTCATCTTTAATGACATTCTGTTTAATAATATACTAATTAAGCGTAGGTTAGTAGTAGATACCTACTACGGTGAAGGAAAACATCATGAGGAAAGCTGCAAGTTTCAAAGAAGCTAGCAAGTTTTCGAAATACATGTGAAGTCCGCCAACCTCTTGGCCAGCGTGGTGGACCATCCCCTCCAACGTGCGTTCACCTTGTCGTGGTGGGGGGGGCTCAGTAATGCCCGGCAATACAGCCGGGCGCGAAGCCAAGAAACGCACAGGGAGGTGGCCCACTTCGGTGAGTGGTGGTTCTTCGTCTTCATCTTTTGTTTTTTTTAACGCTGGGAAATGCATTTACGCACGAGGTGTGGGACTCACCGGTGAAGCCAGTACTACCCACTAAAACCCATCAAAACCTTCCCCCGTCCTAATGGGGCGTCGCAGGATCGTTTACGCATTCAACTACGACGCCCCGACGGCAGGTCTGCCGAAGCAGACCACAACAACCACGGGGTTGCTCCAAGGTCCACTCTGCTATCAGAGAAGTACCAGGAGCAACCCGCATAGAACACCGCCCTCCGAAGAGGGCCGCCTCCCACCGCCCACCGAAGCGGGCCACCTCCCTGTGCGTTTGTCGGCTTCGCGACAGACATTATTGCCGGTCACTACTGAGCCCCCCCAACACGACAAGGTGAACGCCCGTTTTGGGGGAATAATATACGTTACTGCTTATACGATACCAAGACTATGATCTGTCGGTCGCCCAAAATCATGTGAGAGTATTACCTCAGACAGGAAAAGTAATGCAAATGTAGTGCAAATCTGATAGGCCTTACTTAGATTAGCCACAGGGGTCGTTTAGAAATATATAATTTCCACAATGCCTTCCGCCTAACTGAACGCAAAGGCTTTTCACGCTTGCTCTGGCGTGTCACGTACCTACATAGTACATACCTATGTATGTAGAGTTGTTTATTGCCCACCGACATCCTCAATTACTTAACAACAACTACACGGTTTCTTTTGCCTGCATTATAAGTAATTGAAGTAAACTAATTTGAAACATATTCTAACATTATTGAATTCCTTAAAATTCTTTAGTCTATTGTAATTTCATAACAACAAAATAATATTGGCAGACCACGTTTTTTTTTTTATAAATAAATATTTGTGTATATAATAATAATAAATAATTATCTGTATAATATTATAATACTCGTATATACTTAATTAATTTTCCATCTCCCCCTATGTTTATTGAAGAGGAAATAGGAAATTGTACGGATTATTCTTTGCTTTATATTTTTTGTTTATACAATCTTAAGCGTAAAATATTTATTTTTATATTACTAAATACTTTCACAAGAAGAATATAATGCAGCAGCTACAGATCATCTACTTTCCCCATAATAATATAATTTATAACTAACGACACCCTCGCTTCCCCCGGGTTGAACCTTAGATGTCTACTGTAGCCTATATAATACTTTCTTAGATCTACTGAATATTTGACATTTTCAATATGGTTTTTTTCGCGGATTTAATATGGTTTTGGGTTCCCGACGTTTCGAATGCTTTACAGCAATCATGATCATGGAACAGACACTCCCGTGTATTCCAAAAAGGTAGTTTTATTTAAAAGTCATCTATGTTTACTCCAGTCTCTATCTGAGTACTTAATTCCATCCAAATCCATCCAGCCGTTGTAGCTGAAGCTGCACATACAAACATTCACATTTATAATAGTGATTGATTTTATAGCTGCTACATACTAAATTGGTACAAACTACAAGCCAATGTTTGTATTCATCATATGGATGTTTGTTCCGCTCTGGTTAAAACAAACTGGACTGCGCGAAGTTCTAAAAATCGATTAAACTTTCATTATACTTATTAAAACTTCATATTGTAAGTAATTAAGTTTTTTTTTAATGATAATAATTAGATGTGTTAGAAAACAGAACGCTTCTTAAAAGCTCTTAAAGCGAATGATATGATTTAAAAAATATATATATAAATAAAATACCTACAATGATTTTTTTGCAGATTATATTATATATTTTTTTATTCTAAAACATGTATAAGTAGAAGTTTTTTAACAAATTATATATATCCGATATGGTCTAGTGGCTAGGATACCTGGCTCTCACCCAGGAGGCTCGGGTTCGATTCCCGGTATCGGAATCTCTTTTTGTTTTTTTTTTCAAATTTATTTTTCTAATCATTTTTTATGTTTATTATTACAAGTTTAATGTATATTTCATATTAATATTATAAGAACTTTACGTACTGTTGGTGAAGGCCGCCGTCAGGCATAGTTTCAACATGTCTACCAATAAAAATATTGCGAGTTCATTTCCGAAGGAAGAGAATTAAAAATGTTATTTATGAGCTAAATACGTATCATATACTTTTTGTGTTTAAATTAAATCCAAATGAAGCAATTGGGTTATAGTTTTAACAATCCTAATTCTTACTTCTATTAAGAAATAATTTCTGGTTGGGAATTGGTTGATAAATTTTATATGAGAAATAATATTTTTTTATATAACATTTTAACACAGCATAAAAATGGAGTAGAAATAAAAAACATGTTATTTTTTTTAATTTCAAACTCCTATCTCATCTGTATTTATTACACACATTCACTTTAAACCGGACTTATGAAAATTAAAAAATAATTGATAATAATTAAAGTATCGAACAAGATCTCTAAAGTGATAACGTACATACACAAAAAGCGACTTATATAATATGAAATTATTGAAAACGTCGTTACGTCATAATTTTAGTGTAAGTAGACCAATGTGAGTGTTCTTGTATGAAAGTGCCTTTCTCTTATAAATTAATTCATTAACATATTCAGTGATTTCGCACTAATTTTTTTGCAACTTGTTCAAGCCTTTTTAAATTATAATTTGAATCTCAATAGATAGCGAATGGAACTTGTTTACAAAATATTATTGGCTCTTTTTGCAGGCAACCAAACACGCAATAACGAATTTAAAAGGAAATTTTTTAGTCAAATTCGAATCACGTTTAAAAAAAATTGTACAATATTTTTTGGAATGAATAACAACAATATTGTGATTTAGCCATAAACTATTGGGCTAGAAGCTAATTATTAGAATGATCTTAATCATAGTAAAAAATTAACTAAATTTTTTTTTTATTTGATA